GGGGGGGGGGGGAGTATGTGCTGCAATGTATAACTCTATTCTCTTGGCAAAATGCTTTCCTCAAGAGGGAGGTCTTTGAATATGCCTTTCAGAGTTCATTTTTGGCATAAACCTCGAGAGACTAGAGGGACATGAACTTGGTTCAATTTAAATCTTATATGTTCTTTAAGCCTGCATTAGAGTGTCCGGGTGTTTCCTCCATATCAATTAGATTAATACTTATGTTGCATCACTCTCTAAAAGTTTTGGTGCAACATGATATCAGAGTCAGAGATCTTGAATTCAAATACTTACTCACCCAGTGATAGAAAAAATATCATGTGGATGGATTACCCAAAGAGCGTCATTCTTTTGGAAGAGTATTTGATAAATACTTACGTTATATCACTCTCTAAGTTTTAGAGCAAATGGTGGTTCGTGAAGCATTTGGNAGAGTATTAGATAAATACTTACGTTATATCACTCTCTAAGTTTTAGAGCAAATGGTGGTTCGTGAAGCATTTGGGTTGGCTATGTGAGAGGCGAGGTGAATTAGTCCCTTGCCCCTGGTGAGCGAAATACCTGGTTAACTATTTCCTTGTGCTCTTGTTTTGATCCGCTTTTCATAGTTTCTTATAAAGTTCCTTTGAATCTGAAGTTCTTCTACAAATAACCCTGATCTCCAACATGATGTATACTTGGAATTAGTTCTAGGAATTTTCAATTGATTTATATCAAAGCCATGATTAAGTCCAATATCAAAAGATCCCAACACAACACACACGTGTGATATTCTTCCCTCTGTTTTGAATTCTTGAGACAATAAAAAAAATCAATAATGCAGTACCAGGTTATAAAACTTAACAAGCATTTTAGGAAAAATGCAAAATATAGACATAGACCTTCAAAATCAAGGCAGATGCCAGCATTATTTTTGTTCAGATGAAGCCTTCACCTCAGTGGGCCGCAAATTAAGTAGCTTCAGCTTACAGGAAGCGGAATTGTTTAGCTTCTTGCATTGCTTATGTCTCCAATCCTTTTTTTTTTCCTTTCTTTTCTTCCTTTTTGAGTCAGATTTGTATTAATCCCTGCCTCGCTTCAAGTTTGTTCGTTTTTTTTTCTGTATTAGAAAAAACGATTTGTAAATGGAATATTTCAGTATGCTATGTTCACTCCTTCTCTTGCTGTGGCACCGGATCTCCCAGCTCACCTTCGTATCTCCCAGCTCACCTTCTTTTTAGCACGGTCTGATATTGCCTTTTTCCTATTCTTCCCCGAGTCTTTCCCTCTTGGTGTTGTGCGTCGAGGGAGTGCCTCTGGAGCTAGACAAGCCATATGGGCAGTGTAATCGCAGCTCTCGCAATAGTAAGCCCATTTTTCGTACAATCTTTCCTCACAAGCATGACAGTAATACTCGTCTGAACCATCATCTTTGATAGCATAGCTAAGTTTAAAGGAGGGATGCCTATGGCGTTCATACTTGGCGTGTTGAGGCAATAAAGCACATTGTACGTGGAGGAATATGTGGCATGGTTTGCAACAGAAACCAGTGCCATGGATTTTGTTATCACAGGCATTGCACCATTCATGGCTTCGATCAATTCGAGGAAAGAGTGTCAGAGGGTGTTTTGGGTGAAATGGGTGTTTGATCTCTGTTGGTGATTCATAGCACAATTTATGGACAAAATATTTGCATGGACTGCAACCATAAATCTTACCAGAAAGCAATCGCGGGCACCAGGAACAGATATTTGTATTTATGTTTGACCTATCCATGAGGACCAAAGGATGCCGGTGTCTTACATTTTCCTCTGTTTTGCTACCATCGAGAAATAAAGAAGCACAATGGAAATCAAGGTGATATGCGCATAAGGTGCAGTGGTAGTGGAATCCTTCACGCTTCATGTTGCAGGCATCACATTCGAAATTGTGGGTGGGATATGGTGACCCAAGCAACAATGTTAGAGGGTGTTGTGGATGATCCGAGTGATGCAATTCCCGGGGTGCCTCGACACACTTCTTGTGGAGAACAAAGCTGCATTGGTTACAACTGTAATGAGGTTCAGAAATAACTTGGTTGCAACCAGAGCATACAACTAGGTCATCTATTCGCTCAATGGAAAATTGCAAGGGATGATTGTGACTGAAATGTTCAATCTCCATCTCTTTCGTCCCCCTCATTGCACTCAGATTGGAATCATTTGCCGGATAACCATGCAACTTGTGACACTTATCGATGGTATGATTGGGTATATTGCAATACACACAGTGGTAAAAATCATGATGGGATTTATTCAGTGAGGTATAACCATTCTGTGGCATTAGAGCTTGAGGTGTTTCGTGCCCAATAATACCAGGACTATCAGTACAAGGACTAGTCGTAGCAGTTACAGTGGCTTGACTTTCCTCTTGTAATAAAAGAACATAGGCATCGTCAACTGGTGGAAGAGGATCAATCAATAGTATTTGTTTTCGAAGAGAAGCATAAGTCTCATTAAGACCCATAAGAAATTGCATCAACTGTTGTATTTGTACCTGATTTTGGTAGTTTGTATCCCCACATGAACAAGAGGACATGGGAAAAGAAGTGTATAACTTATCCCAAAGCCTCTTTAGTTTGCTGAAATAGACATCCACAGAATCGTCACCTTGCGGACATGTGGCAATGGCACGCTGCAGAGAGAATATTCGAAGGCCACTGCTGGGAGAATAATGATCACGGAGATCGTTCCAGACATCAGCAGCAGACTCGCTGGTATTGTAATCGCTCGGAGCAAGGTCTTCGTGAAGCGAATTAAGTATCCATGAAAGCACCATATGGCTGACCCGATTCCATGAATGAAAGAGGGCATCATCTTCTGAAGGTTTAGGGATGGTTCCATCAACAAAACCAAGTATATTTTTGGCACGAAGAGCCATTGTCATGGCTCGACACCATGCCATGTAATTGTCTTCAGTCAGTTGGATAGAAACCAGTATAGCTTTTGGGTCATCGGAGGGGTGCAAACTAAAAGGATCATGTGAAGATTCAAATTCAGAAGATGAAGAGAGAGATGATGCGATGCCGTTGCCGTTGTCTTCCATTTCCATGGAGATTCAATAACTCCTGTCCGTGTGTATGTGTTTTTATTTTCCAAGAATTCAAGACTAAATAACCAAATGAGAAACAACGAAGAAAGACCCAATGCCGGTCATATAATGACAAGTAAACCATTTTAGCTTCTGTTATTTCATAGTCTTTGTTGTGCAAAGTCAAGTTCAGACCACTATTTAATTCTACACTTCTTTGTTTTTTTTTTTTTTTTAAATGTTTCCGACGGTTAGAAGTATTCGAGCCACTTTACGTGGATCTCGATTAATCCTCTTCTTGATCTGGTCAAAGACAAGTCACGTACGCCAAGATTATGATATTTACGAAGGATAAATTTTTTCGGGTTGCCATCACCTTCGTAGATAAGCTTTTCTCCTTTTCAAAGTTTTCAATTTTTTACTTTGTGCACCTACTACAGGTACATTTTAGTATTGTACTAACCTAATTATCACTTGCCTCTCTAAATAGCTTCACCATCTGACTCTTGCGATTGAATCCATATGGATTTCTTGTTTGTGGAACATATGGCTTCTAGATTAGTTGTCTATAATAAACCTGCTCCAAAATTGTGAGTAGGTCTATTAGCGGATTGATTCGAATTTGATTTAATTAAACAAAATTAATCTGAAATTCAGTTAAATTTCTTCAAATAATGAATTAATTTCTTTAATATTTATATAGAAATATATGTATTTCGGATGATCATAATCGGATCAGATAAAAGTATATTAAATTTCAAATCTGTGAAATATAAGATAGCGAATTCGGATTTGAATTTTGATTTGTGTTAGAGTTCAAATTCTGATGATCAATAAAAAAATATAAATCCGAGCCACTGTCGGGACTAATTGTAAGTTCTATAAATTAGTCATAATGGAAAGTGAGTATCTTTATTGAAATCTAATTTGTTGACGATGAGTTCGATATAGGTAGAAAAACGTATGCAAAAATAGAGAAACATTTCTGTAAGGGATTTATCCGTGCGTTCAAAATGTCCTCCCCCCACCGAAAGATTTTGGCTGACTCAGTGTGGGACTGTGGTGCCCCCCAGTAGTCTTTAACCTCTCTTCGCCCATGTAGAGCTTGTCCCACATCGGAAGAGAGTCGTCTTCCCCCCTCGCATATAAGTCTTGGCTTCATATGGAGGTGGTACCCACTAGCATGAGTACCACCTCCATATGAAGCCCAGGCTTATATGCGAGGGAGGGAGACGACTCTCTTCCGATATGGAACAAGCTCTACACGGGCAAAGAGAGGTTAAAGGCTACTGGGGGTACCACAGTCCCACACCAGGTCAGCCAAAATCCTTCAGTGAGGGGAGGACATTTCGAACGTGCGGATAAATCTCTTACAATTTCTTTGGCAAAAGTATCATTCCCTTTAACGAAGAATTAATTCTCTGGTACATGATGATATATTTGCAAAAAAATGAGATGTTTGTGTATTTTTCCCAAATATCTAACACCACCACCTTATTTTCTAGTAAACCCCAAGTCCTAAGTCAGGCCGGCCAAGAATACTTGAGTCTCTAGCTAAAATTTTTATATGGGCCCTAAAAATATTTTTAGATGAATAATTTATTTATTTTATTTTTAAATATTTAAATTTATATCTGTTAGTGGGTATATATTTAAGGTGCAAAAAAAATACATTATGTAATTGATTAAATTAAAATTAACTTAACTTAAAAATTATAGTTAACAAAATATAACTTTATAAATAGGCCCGAGTTGCAAATTTAGATAAATTAAAAGCATAAAATCTTGTAACTTTTTATATAAAAATATGGTGTGATATATATATTTTTTTATTTTTGAATGTGTATATATTTATTATTTTTAGAATATTTTTTATTATTTTATGAAATATTTTATTTTTTAAAAATTTATTCATATAATTATGTAAAAGATATGCGAATGGCCTAGGTAAGTGGGGCTGAGCGACCCCCTCACTTGCCAAGGGGTAGGCCGGCACTGCCGTAAGCTCGATGCCGCCTTCAATTAGCTCCCCTCTTACCCTTCGATCAACAAGACGATAAGAGGAAACACGATGAGCTCAAATTTAATAAGGTCAGACCCAATAAATTCAGCAAGTCTAGGTTAACTAAAAGACAAGTCGAACTCAGTTTGCAAATTCGACCCAACCCAAATTTCAAGAAGTTAAAGAAGAATTAGAGCATGTGGGGAGTAATTATCGGGATACTCCCTCTCAAATATCAAGACAATCTTTTATGACAATTATCTTTTATAGACACTTAGAAAATTAATATCTTTGCCCTCAAGTCACCGTCTTAACTAAGTCATGTGCCTATAAATTGTAAGTCTTCTCTACATGAGAGGACACATTAAACTTTACCTCTACACCTCTCAACACACACATAGCTTCTTTCTTTCCTAGCTATTGTACCTCTCTTGGAGCTAATCATTGTCTTCTCCCTCTCGTTTACCTTACTTCATCAATAAAAACTTCCCACCACCGTTGCCGTTTTTCAGAGTAGAATAAGTCACCCACACTGAACTACTATATATTTGTGTGTTAACTCAATATTTACATTTCTGCCATTGATTGTTTTATTTATTATCCATTAATTACACATTATCACACACTCGATTGTTACTCTTCTTTGCTAATTTGCAACTCTGTTGTTGGTGTAGGTCATGGACACAACATGTATTGAAAAAAAATCAAGGGTATTTTCTGTAACAATATACATGCTTGAAAATATAATGAAAGAACTACATAATCTACAAATGTAATAACAATATAGTGCAAATATCACTTTTGGCTCATACTACATTTTGCCCGTGTAAGAGGTTTCGACCATTGCGAGGTTTGAATGGATTTAGATGTGTTCAATCGCATGCAAAGAGAATGTTTCCGTCTTAAAAATTGTTATTCGTGTGAGTTGGTTTCCTCCAAGAGTGTCATCCAAATTTCTGCAGCTGATGGAGCCATAGCTGGCCATGTAAATGCAGGTTTCTGACTAGGGATGGTTGGTGGATCTGCTTCTCCAGTAAGAACCTGCAAAGCAGTCCTCATGGAGGGCCTTTGATACGGGTTCGGATGGCAACATGCTAATCCCAACCTGAGCACATACTCTGCTTGCTCCTGGTTGAAATCTCCATTCAACCGGATATCCATGGCTTCGATTATCTGCGCCCTCTGGTATAGTTCCCATACCCAATCAATGATCCTGTGATTTCCGGGCTTTCTTCCACAGGCAACTTCAAGTAGTAGAACACCAAATGCATAAACATCTGTTTCGACAGTTGCCCTGCCTACATGAAAACTCTCTGGAGCCATATACGCGGGTGTCCCAGCAATCTCTTTTGTCGAGTGATGAGTTTCTCCTCCTAATTGAATGGTTCTAGCCAGTCCAAAATCTCCCAACCTGGCATTGAACTCTGAATCCAGCATTATATTGCTGGATTTAACGTCCCGGTGAAGCACCCTTTTTTCACACCCATTGTGAAGATAATCCAGTGCTGTTGCCACACCACAAATGATTATATGCCTTCTTTCCCAACTCAGTATAGAACTAGAACCTCCCATGTCTCGAGACTTATTGAAAAATAGGTGATTGTCTAGGCTCCCATTTGGCATTAACTCGTATACCAAAACGAGTTCATTCTTTTCATAGCACCATCCAACTAATTTGACAAGGTTTCTGTGATGGAAGTTGCCAATTGTTGTGATTTCTGCTATGAAATCTTGCACCCCTTGGTTTGAATCCTTTGAGAATCTTTTCACAGCTACCTCTTTTTTGCTTAATAGTCCTTTGTAGACTATCCCACATCCTCCTCTCCCGAGCATGCTCTGAGGGTGGAAATTTGCGGTGGCGTGTTTAACATCTTTCAGCCGGAATTTCTGTGGAGCAGATGCTGAACCCTGAATCTGTAGCTCCACTTTCGAGTCCTTGTGTATTTGCTTCTCTTTCATTTTCCTTCTCCAACACAGGAGAAAGAAAAGGCCAGCTATAAAGGCAATCAGAGCAGCAGATATTAAGATCCACATCCACAAGAGGTTGGCTGTATCATCATCATCAATGTCTGTACTAGTGAAATTCCAAGCCTTTATACAGTTGTTCTGAGTATATTCCCCAGTGGAAGCTGAAAATCCCACATAAACATCTTCTGAAAGATGCTCAGAGAGATCAAGAAGCATCGAAATTGTGGGACTGTTCATGTTGTATCCTGAAGTGTTTACGTATATGTCCAAGGTCTTGAGTCCCCCATCATACTGAACCCTCACGGGGATTTCAATACCACTCGAAAGATTAACACCAATGCCATTCAATGAGACTTGCTTGATGGAGTAAATGCTGTTTACATCGATACCAACATGGTTGTCATCGATATCCTCCTCGAAGCTCTTCTTCGTGTCAAACTCAATCGCGAATATGTTGCCTTGTGTAGTACCATTTGTGCTTGCATTCACAACACCAAGCCATTGCCCTGAACTGTTATCTGGGACAGAACGACTTTCGTTTGTCAATATGAAAGCCAGTCCTTCACCCCATATTGTGTTGTTCTTCGGAGTAATCTTAACAACAAAGGTAGAGTTAAAGGACGCTGTGATATTTTTCCTTTTCCTCCATAGCTGGAACGGATGTTTATACAAAATCCGTCCAGCTAAATTTGCGATAGAAGGTCCACGAGCCTCGCGTGTCACTTGAAGGGCATCAACAGCTATGTCTGAATGATTTGTCATGGTGAAATCTGGCCTGGTGAAGGTTGCATAGCTGAAATTTAAGGACTCTACTTGAATAACAGAGCTACTCAAGAGAGTTGCTACCACAAGAAGATTGACAATTGGAGAAATGCACATACACTTGTTGGAAGAAGACATACCAAGTGCATCAACTTGATGACAATAGTTGCAAACTCAAAAATGGCGAATTGATCGATTTTTGAGTAATAGATTGGGTTGTAAGTTGAATGAGGAATTTGGGTAGCTCCTTTTCCGGAAAAAAAAGATGCAAATTTAATGACTAGTTTGCAGAGGAAACTTCATTGCTCTTTAGTCTCTTCTGATTTAGTCTATGGAGGAAACTTCATTGCTCTTTAGTCTCTTCTGATTTAGTCTATGGAGGAAACTTCATTGTTGCCTTATCTCTTCCAATTTAGTCTGTTTTGAATTGCACAATAGTCCAAGGTTTATACAAAGACTACGCCACCTCCAAATTTTATAACTTGGGTGAGTTTTGATACAAGTAACAAAAAAAAAATTTCAACTTTTTGGGTTAAATAGTAACTTTTAATGTTTGAATTATAATTTTTTTGGGTCAAATTACAACTTTTGTGGTAACTTGTAATCGATCTTAAATATATTTCGATCGATCCTAGCATTTTTAAGATCGATTGCAAGTAATCACAAAAGTTGTAAAATGACCCTAAAAATTATTTAAAAAAAACGAGTCTTACTCCCAATACTTTGTCAGAACTCAGTTTCTGAGATATTGAGAGTTTGGTATGTTTGAATGTAACTCTAGTTCAAACGTGACTTACCCTCAATAATTTGGTAGAAAATTCAAAAAATCTCAAAATCAAAGTGTTGAGAGTTAGTTACGTTCGATAGTTAAATTTTTAATTTTTGTTTTAGTTTGCTCTCTAATAGCTACATTGTTTCAAACCTTCTAAGAGGTGTCTTTCACCGTAGTAATGAAGGGATATATTTCGTCATGAATTAATGCATAGAACACTATTAATAGAGTTGAATTGCAATATCAAAGTATATGATAAAAATTATTCTCTTCTTCTTCTCTCTAATTCTAAAGCTTCATATTTTTTGATTTTTATATTCTCATTGAGTTTTTGGTTTCAAGATTATTAAGGATTGCAATATTTGATGAAATTATTTTTTTTTATTTTCTTTTTTTATAAAAAGAGTGCAACATGAGGACTTCCCAGGTGGTCATCCATTCTAGTACTACTCTCGTATAAATATTCTTAATTGCGGAGTTCTGATGAGATTCAGTGCATTAGTTCTAGTATGATCGCACCCTTTGATAATTTTAAAGTTAGGCATTGTATCTTAAGTGTAGAATTTGTAAGAGTCCATCTATATTATGAGTGGAGAAATTATTATCTCGAAAATAGGGTGTCTCATGCCTCGACTAACGATCTATCTTCTTCATTTTCATTTATTATTTTTCTTCTTTTGAAATTGTACACGATGACCCCGTGGTGTATCAGTTACATTGAATATTTGCTCCTCGCATGTAGGTTGAGATGATGACCTAATAGGATATTTTTACTTGCCCAAGCTTTTCGTAAGCTGAAACTCGCTGGTTCACCCTTATGGCTCGGGGTGTAACTTGGGTGGATAGGTTGAAAGGTTAATTCTAAGTATAAAATTTTGACTCTAATTTTAATTTTAATTCGACCTCAATCTTAGATACTCAATTTGAGTATTGCCAAGTTGAATTCGGGTGAGTTCGAATTAAATTCGCGTTACTCAATTCGGGCTTATTTTAGATTTGAATTCGGGTTAAATTTGTTCAGACCCGAAATCAACCTATAGTTCTAAATCTAGTACACACTACATAGTATTTACCTAAAGTAACAACTAATTACTTCAATCAAATGTTTAACACAAAGAACATAGTATTTAAAACATAAAAAAATATACCGGACAAAAATCAAATTACACCTTGCTTAACATAAAAACATAATAGCCAAATTAACATAAAAAAACATATTGGTCACAGTGTTTAACCACAATATTTGGGTTGAACCCAATTTAATATTCGGATTGAACCCAAAAATTAGAGGCTTTAATTCGAGTATTGTTCAAATTCAATTTGAATTAATGTTTTTCAACCCATATCAAATTCAAGTACTAAAATTTTCAACCAAAACCCAATTTTTTTTGGGTTAAATTCGAGTTGCTTATGGCAAGGGGTCTCGCTCCCACGGAGGTGAGGCCGAGGATGCCCCGAAAGGATGTTCTCTCTTGTCCCTAGTCATAAATATAATTTAATGATCTTCCAAAAAAAAAAAAAATCCTCAAACTCGTCCATTCACTGTTTCAAATAGAAAAACAAGATCGTCCATTTAACTACGATCACTAAATTGTCAGCTATCTTATTCCAGAACTTGACAGATTCAAACTGAAAATTATTTTGCATGTTGAAGAATATTGACTGAAACGTCAAGAAGACTTTACTGTTTATTCGAAGCTTCCAAAATGGACTTGTCCAGGATAGACTTTGCAGAAGCGTATTGTACACGCCACGCTAGTCGCTTTGTATCTCAAAAAAAAATAGAAAAGAAAAAAAGAAACAAAATAGCATACGATTTCGAATTCCGTGAACGAATTCGTGTTATGAGTGCAAATTTTTCATCAATTTTCACTTTTATTCTATAAAATTCTTGACTTTGCGCTTTTACTTATATATATACTAGAGATAACCCGCGCTTGAAGGTACGGTGCAATTAAAAAAAATTGAACATTGAATTTGAACGCAAAATAATCAAGCACTGAATTCAGATACGTACTAAATTGAAAGCCTAAATTGCCCTATATCACGTGATTAAAGGCACCGTACATAATTTTTAAACACGAAATAATCAAACAATGAATATAAACATACATTAAATTGAAAATCGTTTTGGTCATTTTTAATGTCATGACTTTAGTAAAATAAAGAGTCAAAAGTTGTCATCAACAAATACTTTGACAACCTAAAATCAAAAAAATAAAAATAAAAAATTACATTAAATCAGGAATACTCCAAGAATATAAAGAAGTCAATAACCTAGTACATCATGAACTCAAAAATTGTACACAAACACATTAAAATTTTTTAAGACCAATCTAACATGTGATTGGCAGTATAGTCCTTGAAGCCTTCGTCCAGCAATTTGACAAAAAACATCATTGGATCCCCAGAAAATTTATTTAGAAGTGGTAATGATTTTTATCATAGAAGCTCTGAACAATAACCACATCAGTTCACAAATTTCATAAAAATAGAAATCAAACTCACACAAATTAAACCTTGACTTTGGCTATGGCAGTGATGGGTGGACGAAGTCATCGACAAACCCAAATAAGATGATCACATCAATGACATCATAGGATATTAGAATGTGTCTTCATTTTACTGAAGCAATACTACAAAAATGTTTGCCATCATATAAAAAAACACACAAAATCTACTCAAATTTTTTATATTTAAACCATTACAATTATTCTACGCCAAGTCATCCCGAGTAATTACAATGCAATCAATCAACCAGAAGTAACATTACAACTTAAAAGCATACATGCAATCACAGAAGCACAAAGAATGACAAGGTAAAAGAATTTACATATACTATCGGTAATACCAACATGATACCATGGCCTACGTCAAACCCATAATATTCATCAAACTAATAGCAAGTAGAGGGTGCAAAAAAGATGAGAGGGTCACCCTTTTGTTGGCAGCGATGCGTCCACAACTCTTTGAAAAATTTCATTGAACATGTGATAGGTGTGTACGAATTTAGTCCAATGTAATATAAACACAGTCCAATGCTTAGACAAAGAAGGGAAAAAAAACCACCAAACCAATGAACTCAACTCCCACTATCAAACTACCAAAATCATATTTTATGAAACCACTCAAATAGAGGTTTAGACTCTAATTAGGAGGAGTAATTGAGATGAGTCCAAAATTGCACTGAAGATAGCTAATAAAGCAACATATGTTTGACAACCACTTCTAAACAAAATCAACGTTTATTATGTTGATAAAGATGAGAATCAGATTGGTAAAATAAAAAAAAAATATGGAAAACTCAGCTTATTTTACCATCAGGCAACAAACAGCATCTACATTAAAAATGTCTGCAAAAAAAAAAAAGTAAGTTAGAGATTCAAAACAGAGCCTTTTTTTTTTGGGGATAGAAATTAAAACTTCAAGAGTAAATCCAAGAAAAAAAAGTTTGGGATAGAAATTAAAATTAATGGTAAAGTTTGGGGTATTTGTGATGTTTCAACAATAGGTGATGAGACGTCATGATCTCAAGAGCACTTACAGACCAGTAAATACTCTCCACTTTGTTACCTAGATGCTGAATCATCACTGTCGCTGCCTCCGCCGCCTGACAATTCACACACAACACACAGAGATATGATCAAATCAAACTCCCCTGCTTCAATATCGTTCGTTTCGGTTTCTGAAATTGAAGAAACTTCAAACTCAAACTGAGGGAATTAATGGATGGGGAGGTGTTTGCGCAGAGGGGGGAAGGGTGGGGAGGGGGAGTACCTGGCTATAGCAGTGGTAGTGGCAGTGGCTCTAGCTGTGGCTTTGATGGTGGTAACACTGACACAGAGAGAGAAAGAAGTTGAAGAGGAAATGAAGAAGGTAAAAAAAAAACTGAAGGCATGGATGTGGCCGCCTGTTGTCTGACAATGGGTGTAGGGGTGTCAGATGCTTCAATTTAACTATGAACACCAGCTGCAGTGTGTGTACTGGTCCACAGAGAATGGAATTCACGTTGTGAAACAAACTGCATTACAATTTACATACCTTTCTACCAGCAAAAGATGGGATAAATCATCCCACACATGTAGTATAAATTGAAGCCTTTTTTTTCTTCTTCTGGTAAATCAATTTGAAGCTTTAATCAGTCTAAAAACTCCATATGATGTCAATTCAACACATCTGCCTCAAACTATTTTACAGACTTTGTACAAATTCTCTACCTTCTCCAGTACATGCTACAGAAATACCTGAACAATATCGATCACATAGCCACAAAGCTGTTTCCCATTAATTGTACAATAAATGTTCACTTCATCAACCCCCTTGAGAAGATGGATTTTTTTTATACCTGCACGTAATTTGAAGCAACAAACCACACCTCTCCCCCTCAGCCAAAGCAAGAAGATAATCACAATGCTTTCAGGTTCACAATTACCAGTCACTTCAATTAATAAAAAATCAAAAAACAAATCATAGGTAAGCAAAGCAAATTAGTTTGAAATGAGATTTTTAAAAACATTCAGTCACCTTAAAAAAAATAAGATTATAAATAATTGAAACTAATAATACCAAGCACTCCACCCAATTACCAACACTACTAAAAAATTAGAAATGGTACTCGATATGGTTTCAATGCAATTATTCCAGAAGTTCAATCTAAAGAAAATTCAAAGAACCAAGAAACAAAAAAAATGAACTCAATATCATAATTGGTTGAATCGACCAACAAAGACGGCTCTGGAAGTGAATCTCTTGAATACACAAAAGGCTCGAGAGAGGTTGTAACCAACAGAAAATAAAATCATAAAATTTAAAAAATTAATACCCATAAAAAGTAGAGATAAAACTCCCCATAGGAAACCATCAAACATTTCAACGAACCCCATCAATGGCTTCGACAAATATTGATGAACAATTTACTCGGCTTCATCGCAACACCAAGAACGTTGATGAATAGTGCATCTGACAAAGCAAAGCAAAACCAATTTACTCACATAGACAAAGCAAAACCAAGAAACCAAAGATAATCCAATCCAAAACCCAAATAAATTAGACAGTTTGGAACTTTGCCTAACACAAAGTTCCAAAGAGACCCATTGCTCCAAATCACAACTGATCGCAGCATACCATCGCTCTACACAATGCCTAGATTTAAAAACAACAAACACTTGTGCATCATATATACAATAAAAAAAAAAAGCTACCACAGACTTGAATATGATCCTAAAATGTTATAAAAAAAAAAAGTTGGAAGCAAACTAATTGAATGGTAACCGAAGAGAAAACTTTAGATGTAATCTAAAACTACTCATAAACTCACCATTGGGAAAACATAGTCGAAAGGCAACTACGTGCAAGTAAAATGCTTGCTTATCCAATCACGCACACTTGAAATCTGCCACAATAAAGAAACAAAATAAGTAGAGCATATGAAATTTGCCACAACAAATAAACAAAATAGCAAATCCACAAAACAAAATTCAGAAATTTGTAACAAAATCAAATCAATAATTTAAAATAAAATAAAAAAATTTGGAAAAGAGAGAAAACCTGATTTCAAGCTGATTCATGCAAGTTCCAGAAAACGTAAATATCGATTACATCCAAGCCTTCATCTTTTGATTTCCGAATAAGGCCAGACAACATTTGTGGTTACTGCAAATAGGTAGACAAACAATATGACAAATAAATCATTAAAAAGGTATGAAATGAATCTTTAAGAATTTATCTTTTGAATTCCCAAGAAAAATTGACATATTTATCTAGCTGCACCCATTATTCAAACATAGATACACATATTTTTTAACCTACACAGTGAACGTATTAACAATAAATTAAGCAAAGAAGGATGAATCATAGGACGCAAATTTTCAATAATAGTACAATATAGCTACTCATTATTGACAAACGAACCAACTTGTTTGGACCCAACTCTTTCAATTTCATTTCCAAACCACTCAACAGCGCAAACCTCCAAAACTCCTAAAAATAAACACACCCAAAACATCAAGAACCAGCAGCACAACCCTTATCAATTTTAATTTAATTTAATTTTCCCAAATAAATTAAAATTGAATTAAATTTTGAAGTGAAAATAGATTCAAAATTGGTTCTATCTTATTATTATAGATTTAGTTATGGTAAAATTGAGGCAAAAAAAAAAAGGTTATACCAAAACAATAAATTGGTTAGAAACAGATTGATAACACGCCACACCAGTGGTTGGAGTTAATGTAGAAAAAGCAACCAAACAAAAAAAAAAGAAGATACAAATACAATCTCATCATAAGTTGCTAACCTGCTATTAAAATTCCCAAAATCATTTGATTCCATACAATTTTAGCCAAATTTTACTGAGAAATATACAAATCAACNTTCCCAAAATCATTTGATTCCATACAATTTTAGCCAAATTTTCCTGAGAAATATACAAATAAACAAAAAACTAAAACTAACATTTTGTATGCAAAATTCGGCTAAGCCAATGAGATTAAAAAGCAATTGCAATTACGAAGGACACAATTTGTAGGCAAAAATAAGTGAAGCAAGAACAATTAAGACCCAAAAAAGTTGTCAATGGCTTTTTTTCCTTCACTCCGATATTTCGTCGACCACCTGAAATGCAAAAGTGTTGGCTTATGGTAGTGAAGTGCTATTTTTTTCTCTTTGATATTTTGTCAATCACCTAGTATTCAAAAAAAAAAGGCAGGGGTTGCATGGTTTAATAACAAGGGTTATTAGTTTTATAAAATTTTCGTGTATTATGTGTCTATTTTTTTCTCTTTGATATTTTGTCAATCACCTAGTGTTCAAAAAAAAAAAAGGCAGGGGTTGCATGGTTTAATAACAAGGGTTATTAGTTTTTTAAAATTTTTGTGTATATGTGTGGGTGTAGGTGTGAGTGTTCTATACGGATGTACACATAATACTTATACACACCTACAATAAAAGACACAAAAATAATCCTCAAGAAACATATAACTCAAATTGACTAAATCAGTAGATCATAGATATTTGTTAAATCCACAGAATCATTCTATTTTAAAAATGTCAAAATTAGATAAGTATAAATGTATAAGGTCTCCAATTTTTCACATGTTGATCCTATACTTAAACTAATCCAAGTAGACACACATTAATCAACTTTAAAACCAACACATGACATAATATTTAAATAATCAAGTAGAACCACATTAACAAACTACAAAACCAATACATTTTAATTAGGATTGATGAATCTTAAAGGAAATGATCAAGCAACCAACCTGAATGTTAGGCGGGGACCAACAATACTACCATTGATGAATCTTAAAGGAAATGAGTCTTTGACCAAGACACCCATAGATGAACCATGACCAGCATACTGGACCTCGTCGTCACATTGCTCGTGAGGGGTTTCGCAAGGGTGGTTACCAGGCCAGTGAAGAGAACCACAGAGGGTATCCTTACATGTGACAACGTTTTGTTTGGCTTGTAAAGAGTGTGAGGGGCCTTCACACACAAACACACAGAGGTTATGGACTATGGGCAGTAGTTTTAGGGTGATTTTGCATGTATGGAAAAAAAATGAAGAATTGACAATTACTGGAGTGCATTTGGTATAAGGTGCATCACACTGAAGCCAGGTGAGGTCACTGCTAGTGTCCATATCAAGAAAGTAGGGTTTGGATGGGTGGCCTATGTTAAGTGTCACTTGATAGTACCTACATAAAGAAAAAACATTGAACAACCAACTTTATAACACAGGACACAAAAATGGATTCCACTCAAATACCATGAATTTCGATCATAACTGAAAAGGGAAAGAACAAAAATAAAATTTGGAGATATTATAGAAAAAAGAAAAATGCGGGAAGATGTACTAAAGAGAGCAAATGATGATACATCAAAAGGCAGGATGCATACAGGATGGGCAACTGCCCTCTAAGGTTTGAAAATTCCCTTAAAATTACATTCCATTTGCTAAAGAACTACAATTGTAAATTTTACAGTTGTCCCAATTTTTTTTACTTCACAACAGTTGTCCCAAATTCCCTTACAGTTGTTCCATTTGCTTATGCACCACACATATTATCTTGTGGGACCCAAAAAATTAGCTTTTTCATCTAATGTATAGTGCAGAAGCATTTGGAATATGCTTTGGGAAGCATAGCAATTCTCTTACTAAGAAATAGCAAGAAGGAATCAAGGTAATATGTATCCCTAATGCTTCTACATACGAACACACATCAACCCCCAAAAAAAAACACAGAGAGAGAGAGAAAGGCTCACAAAAACAATAGTTAGAAAAAGGTGCAGGCAAAAGGTGATCAGAGAATTAAAATGTTTGGTTTGAGGAAAAAATGAAATATTAAGTAGACCATTTACTCAGAAAATTTCAAAAGAAACACAAAAGGTCATTAAGATTCCCCAGGAATAGCTAGAAATCAAGGCCACATAAAAAAGGCTAGAAGTCTCACATAAATAAATTTCAGGTAATTAAAGGAAAGTCGACATAATCCAATAACATACCAAGAATCTTCCCCGTAAACAAACAGAAAATTCATAAAACCCCAAAATCTCCCAAGAAATCCACAATTGAAGAGAGCACGCAAACCGCATAACCATAGGCTAATCAAACACCAAAACAATACATGTATACAAATATACCCATAGATAAGAGAAAACCCATCAAGATCACATCTAGTAAATCTAAAGAAACCCCACAAATAAAATGACATACCCTTTAGGATAGACATTCCCAGTTACAGGGAAGACCACAGAGGATCCAAATCGATCCTCGATGGCCGTTGATTTGGATTGTTTCTTGATCCTCTGAGGTGGATTGGAAGCTGAAGAACAGCTTTGTAGCGATTAGAGGCAAAAATGGGTCAAAAAAGGCAAAGGCAAAGGTAAACGTCGACAAGTCCACTGGATTGTCTGAATAATTTTCTGTGGTGGTGATTCTGGCGCTAGTGGTAGTGGCTATGGATTTGGTATGGGAGAGTTGAAAGTATGAGAGAGAGATGAAAAAAGTAAGATGTCAGACAGAGGAATGATGGGTGAGGGAGGGTGAGATGGATTGGGGGAAAATTCAAACTCTCATATGTTTTAACTTGCAGACGGTTGGATGAATCAATTGATTTGAGACCGTCGGATGTTAAAACTGTCATGTTTTATATTATAGATTCTACAGCAATGCAATCAAGAGAACTGATTAAAGAAAAATGTATGATGCAATACCAGAAAGCCTGAAAATTGATAAATTAAATTATAGCAGACAAAAGACCAAAAAATTATCGAAGGCAAAAAGAAATATCTGTCTTTCTATAAGGCAAAAAAAATATGTTCTGATTCTTTGCATAACCATATCAAAAAAAATGTATGAAACGAAAACCATGATTATAACAGAATCATATTTAAGTTTAATAGAATTTGGTACCAAGTAAACAATTGAAATTTCATACACACCAACCGCTATAGCTGCAACAATCTTTAACTGGGGAGGATTAACACCCAATTTTAAAACCCTAAATTAACACCCAATTCATAACCCTAGAGTAACATATTGGGTGTGCCATGATGTGTGTGTATGTGAAAGTGATTGGGTGCTCTAGCTGGGTGGGGGTGTGTTTGTGTTTGTTCGACTGTGCGTGTGACTGTGTGTGCGTGCATAGAGAGGGAGGGAGAGGGAGAGGGAGAAGAGCTTACCTGGGTTGGTGGGGTGGCCGGTGAAGGGTGAGAGGGAATAGAGAGCTCACAAAGACGAAGAAGAGAGACGTCGGTGGTTGTGGTGTTGCTGACGAAGTGGCGCTGCTGCTGCTACTAGTGTTGCTGGGGTGTAACACACAGAGAGAGAGAGGGAGAGAGAGAGAGAGAGAGAGAGAAAGGATTGCGGAGGAAGCAGAGGCAGAGGCAAGCATGGCGTGAGAGAGGTCTGAAAAAGTAAAAAAAGAGACGTAGGGGGCAGGCTGCATCTCTGACAAAAGAAGTGATTGAGGGTGACTTGTTTTTGAAAAAAAATGAGTAAAAAGAGTTGGATTCGAAGGGAAATGAAAGATTATTAATGGCCGTCGGATGAAATAAATTGTGACAGTTCGATCGGCTTGTTGAAGCTTGCTGTGTTTTATATTATAGATTGAGAAGTTATGGCTTTCACCCAAAAAGCAAACTAACATTGAGGACCATAAGAGGCAGAATGAAAACTAAGAGGTGCACAACACAAATATTATCGATACCCATGATAAATTAAATCAAAGCTATAAAAAAACTCTGCGTTTTTGTGTGTGTGTTGACTACCCCAGATCATTCGCACAACACAAATATCGGCCCCCACTTATGCATACTCTGCCTTCCCTAAGAAACCGAGAATCAATTTCCTCAAGAAATTCAACCATATCGTGATTTGTCTGAAGAACATAAACTTTCATCTCCATATTCATCTTCAAACCATATCCCAAAAAAACCTAAAAATTTACATTAGAATGAACAGACGCAAAACTCATTGGACTAAAAGAAAACAAAAAATGTCCCACCATTAATTCATGAAATCAAAAAGCATTTAGAAGTCAAAAGGGGACATTTGGGTGCCAAAAAGGTGAAAGACAATGAAAACACAGAAAATAAACCATAACTCCAGTTCTAAAGACAATTTAACACTACACAAAAGCTGAAGTATAAGAAGAACATAGAAAAACCCATGTACACAAACAGTAGGATGCTGGAGAGTTATCCGAGAGCAAGTGGCATCGTCACTATACCATAAAATAATAATTTACACTAATCTTAAAGCTCTGCCAAACAAATTTTATCAGCCACCACCAACAAATCATTAAAAAATTAGGAACCCATTATAGAATAGATCTAACAATTTCAAGACTTATAAAGTCTTAGACCATGAACTCGGCATTCTATCAAATGGGCTGGCATGTTGTTGAGAACAAAATCAAAAGATCAATTTTTAAGGGTCTAAATTATGTTTTTCTTTCATTGAGCCAAAACAACAAATAGTTTGAAAGCATAAATTCAAAATCTATAAAAGCCAACTGTTTACACAGTATATACAATGCCTAAAATAACAACTTTTTGTGGAAAATGTAGAGAGAGGGGAAGGAGAGGATCAGGGAGGGGAAGAGAGAGATAAAATAGGCATACCTTGATGGCTTAGGGGGACTGGTAGGGTTGGAGGTTCGCTGATCGATGGTCACTGGAGTATTTGGCGAGGGTTCACTGGAGCGTAATGGGTGGGATTTAAAGGATTCACTGGAGCGTTTTGATCTCTGTAGTTAGCTGTATTTATCTGATGTGCCAATTATAAATGAGGTTTTAATTCACTTGAATTGTTCTACCCATATGATTGAATTTAATGAGATTTTTTCTTTAGTCATTGTTTAAATTCCTTGTTTGGTTTAGAAATAAAATTTATTTACAGATATAGATATGCTTTCACAGACATTCAAAGCCAATGGAGAAAAAACCGTGCATTTAAATCATGCCCCTGGATCAAAACAAAGCACACCATTAAAATCAGAGAATACTACTGCTACTGGTGCATCCTGTGAAGCTTGTGGGAGGAACATCCAAGACTTGCCTAACTGCTTTTGCTCTGTTGCTTGCAAGGTAAATAATGATGATGAACACATTTTCACAAGTTCATTAATTACTTGATCTCCATTTCCTACATAATAGTTAAGCTTGTCAACGTGTCATGGAAAATTATGAATATTTAGGTATTGATAGATTCATCACAGATCTTGTGTAAAGACCAGAGCCAAGAGATGATTTCAATCCCAGTGATCTCCATTTCCTACATAATAGTTCGAAGCTTGTCAACGTGTCATGGAAAATTATGAATATTTAGGTATTGATAGATTCATCACAGATCTTGTGTAAAGACCAGAGCCAAAAGATGATTGCAATCCCAGTTCTTGAATTTGATGGCCTGTCTGAGAAGCAAGGCCCTGACTCGGAAAGGGATAAAAATGAACATGAATCATCCAGAGAAAACCAAGCCATTGTTAGTTCAGCATTGAAGCCAAAGGGGCGATTTCGAAAGAGGAAGGGTGTCCATCGCAGGGCTCCTTTCAGTTAGCCCAAAAGAATCATTCTTTTATTAGTTTCTAACAGTAAGAAAATCTTTAATACACCCACATTCTTTCCTTTAGATTACACAAGGTATATTCCCAATAAAACAACATTCTAGGAGTGGGTGAACGGCAGAGAGAGAAAAAGAGATAGGAAGAGGGGTACCTGGGCGACTGCAGAGAGAGGGAGACATGGCAGAGGTTGGCTGTGTAGTTGGGGATGTGGTGGTGTTGCAAACAAAGTGGCGATGGTGGTGGTGTTTCTGGTGTTCCTCGTGGCGTCACTGAAGCGTAACAAATAGAGAGAGAGAGAGAGAGAGAGAGAGAGAGAGAGAGAGAAGGTATGGCTTGTCTGAGAAAAGGGATGGCTCTCTGGTGGTGTTGCTGGTGTTCTTCGGATACAGATCTTGGGTTGGGTTGGATGTGATGATTGAGTTTAGTTAAGTTGGGTTGAATGTGATGGTTAGGTTGGATTAAATTGAATGAAATGAATTTAGGAAAAAATATATGGACTTTTAAATTTGAATGAGAGGTATTGTGAGTTTTTGGATGTTGAAGCATTTTGATGAATGAAGACTATATGATCAATTTCTTGAAGCCCCACTCTATTTTATATTATAGATATTGTCATTATTTTGAACTTATACAAGAGAAAGAGTTGTGAGGTTTTAACCGGCGATTTCATGATCCAACGGTTGGCTGCGATGGGCATTGGGCCAACTATTGATCCTCACTTATTCAAATACTTACGCATTATTACCTAAAATTTTATATGAAAACTGATGTTTCATTCATAAGATACATATCAAATTAGAATAATATTTATAACCTATAATTTTTATTTCGGGATCTTATAATTAATATTTATTTAAAAATTACATAATCTGTCATACAGTTTTACATGAAATTTATTTTTTTTATATTTTATTTAATAATTTTTATGGGTGAATGTTTGTCTAGATGCATATATTAGAGCCATTGAACATCACTTTGTCGTATGTATTATTATTATTTTATTGTTGACCCATTACTTATTCAACCAGCGATATGAGAGAGTTATAACCTAGATCACATAGAGCGGGATCGAGATCATAAAATTTCAAAAATAGTTAAGAGTGAGAGTGTCACTGAGCGCCAAATTTATATATATGACATTGCCAACGCCAGAAAAGAGAATGTGTAGAGTCTTGCACTCTGAATGGCAAGGCAACATTTATAAGCAAATCTCATGACCAAGTTGTCCCACATTGGCAGAATATAAACAAATTGAAGGGCAAGAAAGCTATATAAAACTTACTAGTCCAATTGGGTTAGGAAAAGACCTTTTTATTTTTATTTTTATGTATATGTATTTATGGTGAGAACTTAAAATTTTTAAATATTCAATTATGAATTTGTGCATTTGATTTTTTGTGGATTTGAATATTGAATTTGCGCATTTGATTTTTTGAGTTTGAGAATTTGGGTTGAATATCGAGAAGTGTTTTAAGTAAATTGTGTGATGTAGATTACAATCCTTCCGGTGAAATTATCATTTTTGAAGGTGAGATTATTATTATTTAATATTAAATTATAATTTATAAAAGTCAAGTTACAACCACTTAAGTTACAACCTCTTGTGTTTAAGTTACAATATTTTTAAGGTACAACGATCACATTTAGAGGTATGGTAACAATTGTTTAAGATCCGGTAATAACCTCTTGAGGAAAGGTTACAACCCTTTGAGGTAAAGTGACCATATTTGAAAGTGATGTTATAATCATTTGAGGTGAGATTGTATTTGGTAATGTTATCACCTCTTAAAGGTAAGTGAGATTATAAGCTCTCGAAGTAAAGTTACAAGGTACGACTCTATAATATAAAGTTATTACCTTTAGTGGTGATATTATAACTATTGGAAGTTAGGTTACAATATATAAAGGTAAAGTTACCATCTTTAGCCCGAGGTGAGGTGTGGTTATCACTTTAGGGGGTGTGAATATAATTTATCTTATTTTTTACTTTTTCGGCAATCATGTATTTAATATTATAATTAAGAAGTTAAATTCTCAACTTATAAAAGCACAACAACGGTCAATATTTAATCAATTTTTATCTACTTTGATCCAATAGTGAAACATTCATCCCAAATTTTTTTTTCCGCTCAAAAATTTTATATTCTATGTACGATCCCCAATGTCAAGATAATTTAATCAACACACTCTTTGATACCAAACAATCTCATTAATCTACATATTTCTCTTATTTTTTACTGTTCACTTTAATTTAAATTACATAATTATAAAAATAAATAAATAAATTATAATTTAAAATATAAAATATTGTATAATTAATATTCAATTGTTTATATTGGAGAGGGACTTGAGGCACTACTTATTGCAAGTGATTGAATAATAGGCGATAAAAATGTCATCTACAACTATTTGAACAGTTCAAACTCTCCCCCGGTCTACGTCAAACGAAACAAAAGAAAAAGGTAATTATCTTTCACGTCTTTTTTAGATAGGTATATTTTTAATAAGATCATCTCTATTATTTCAAATATTATTGACTTCCTTTCTAATTTATTTTTAAATATCACTGACATTCCTTAAAATTAAATCACCGTTTCTAATAAAAAAAAATCATCTAAATACCAAAATTGCCTATACATAAACTCCAAACAATATTTCCACGTAAAATTTAATTAAAATTTAATCCAATTAAATTTTTTTTTCTACATATTAAATTTGATCCTATTAAAATTTCTTTTTTTTGAAAAGTATTAAAATTTGAGTTGATTCAAACTCAACTTGAACTGTTAGTGCTAATTAAAATTCGATTCGAATAGTTTAAAATTTATATTTTTTTATATATTAAAATTCAACCATTTGAAATTCGATTCAAGTTGATTAAAATTTATTTTTACGTATTAAAATTTATATTTTTTTATGCATCAAATTTTGGACCAATTAAAATTCGATTCAAGTTGTTTAAAATTCAATTCGAACCGATTAAAATGAATTTTAATCAGCTCGAATTGAATTTTAATTGACTCAATTTTTAATAAGTAAAAATATAATTTTTATTCGACTCAAATTTTAATTCGTAAAAATAAATTTTAATTAGTTCAAATAGAATTTTAATATGTAAAAAAATTTAGAAAATATAAGGGGTCTTATTGAAGATATATCTATTCAGAGGTGATATGAATGAAATTTTTTCTAATATATATCGTGAGCAATTTAGTAAAATTACATTCTAATTAATGTTATTAATCTAACAAAGGTGTTAGTGATATTTCAAATAATAGAGGAGATCTAATTGAAGATAGAAAATTCTAATTAACACCACTAATCTGACGGGGAGTGTTAGTGATGTTTCAAATAATAAAGGGTTTCATTGAATATATATCTATCTAGAGAATGTAACATTGAATTGAAGATATACTTATATAGAGGGTGTTAATGATAAGGGAGAATTACATCCAGATCCCTTGAAGTTTATCCCTTAATCACTTAGACCCTGACATTTAAAATATTACACGTAAACCCCCTAACATTTGTACGCGCATAACACTTAGACCCCCTAATGTAGACCCTTTGAAGTTTGTAGATATATAATACTTAAGTTTAAAATATTATACTCAAATCAAAAATATTCCAATTAAAGATAGAATATCAATATTTTAAATTTTGCAACCAAAATTTGTGTTCTATTAAATCATTTATTGAAATAAAATTAAAATTAAAAAATTATTTTTTTCTTAAAAAATCATAATATGTATATAATTATACTATCTATTGGAATAAAACTAAAAAATCAAACAAATGGTCTAAGTCATTCATAATAGAACATGAATTTTACATCCAAAAATCATGTTCTATTATTCCATTTAATGAAATAAAATAAAATTAAAAAAATAAAAGCCTAGTTTTTTTAAAAAAAAATCATAGTTAATATATAATTATATTATCTATTAGAATAAAACTAAAAATTAAATAATTGGTCAAATTATAATGGAAATAATATCTTTTAGCTTTAATTGGAGTAGTTTGGTATTTTAATTTGGTCGTTTTAATGTCCAAATTAAATTCTAATAGACAATTTAAATTCCAATAGACAATAAAATAAAATAAAATTTTAATTTTAATTTTATTTCAATAAATGATACAATAGAACATGACTTTTGGTTTTAAAATTTAAAATATTTGATATTTTATCTTTAATTAGAGCATTTTTGTCTAAATATAATATTTTAAATTTAAGGGATATGAGTATTATATTTTTTCAAATTTCAGGAGGGTATAAATATAATTTACTAACTAATATATTTACAACAAAAGTCTAAGTGTTATGTGTGTACAAATTTTAGAAGTTTTATGTGTAATATTTTAAATATTAAGGGATTTGAATGATTAAATGACAAATTTCAAAAGTTTAGGTGTAATTCTACCGAATGATAATTATCCAAATAAAAAATATATGAGGTTGGGAATTATATTAAAGGGTTATTGCTACGACTACATGTGTGAGAAGGAGAGCAGAAATCTCTCTATGAAAATATATAGTAGAAAATCATATAGGATGTGGGTAGGAAGAGAGAGAATGGGTGATCGGATGTTTCTTCACTTCAGAGATCCGAATCGGCGACGCAATTGTTGGTGATTTTTCTGTTATGATTACAGAGTTTCGATTTGTGTTATGGGTTTGATCGGTGTTCATTGGGTAATCCAGAAGATTTGGTCTTTGGAGTTACATTTTGGGATGACCAAAAGGGCAATGTTTTTCTCGTTTGCCAATTTGGCGAGTCAGGATTTTGCAATTGAAGCTAAGAACGGAGTAATTTATGAGGGTTTTGGGACACTTGTACAGTTGTACTCTAAATCTTCTTCTTCCCTTGATAGTGGGTGAACCAGTGGTGGTGGTGCATTGGAGAGGGGGGGGGGGGGGNGGGGGGGGGGGGGGGGGGGGGGGGGGGGGGGGGGGGGGGGGGGGGGGGGGGGGGGGGGGGGGGGGGGGGGGGGG